AGCATTTGAGGAAATGCAGTAAGACAAAGTATAAATATTAGAGGATATGTAAACAATTGGAGCTTGTTTTTTTTTTAATTTTATTGGAGTATAGTTGCTTTACAATGTTGTGTTAGTTTCTGCTGCAGCAAAGTGAATCAGCTATACATATACATGTATCCCCTCTTTTTTGGATTTCCTTCCCATTTAGGTCACTACAGAGCATCGAGTACAGTTCCCTGTGTTATACAGTAGGTTCTCATTAGTTACCTATTTTATACATAGTATCAATAGTGTACATATGTCAATCCCAATCTCCCAATTCCTTGCACCCCCCCTTTCCCCCTTGATATCCATATATTTGTTCTCTCCGCCTGTATCTCTACTTCTGCTTTGCAAATAAGATCATCTACACCATTTTTCAAGATTCCACATATATGCATTAATGTATGATATTTGCTTTTCTCTTTCTGACTTACTTCACTCTGTAATGACAGTCTCTAGGTCCATCCACGTCTCTACAAATGACCCAATTTCGGCTTTTTATGGCTGAGTAATATTCGATTGTATATATCTACCACATCTTCTTTATCCATTGCTCTGTCGATGGACGTTTAGGTTGCTTCCATGTCCTGGCTATTGTAAATAGTGCTTCTATGAACATTGGAGTGCATGTATTTTTTTGAATTATGGTTTTCTCTGGATACATGCCCAGGCAAGGGATTGCTGGACCATATGGTAGCTCTATTTTTAGTTTTTTAAGAAACCACCATACTGTCCTCCATAGTGGCTGTACCAATTTATATTTCCACCAACAGTGAAGGAGGGTTTCTTTTTCTCCATAACCTCTCCAGCATTTATTATTTGTAGACTTTTTAATGATGACTATTCTGACTGGTGTGAGGTGATGCCTCATTGTAGTGTTCATTTGCATTTCTCTAATAATTAGCAATATTGAGCATCTTTTTGTGTGCATATTGGCCATCTGTATGTCTTCTTTGGAGAAATGTCTTTTTATGTCTCCTGCCCATTTTTTTATTGGGTTGTTTGTTTTTTTATGTTAAGCTGTATGAACTGTATGTTTGTATATTTTGGAAATTAATCCCTTGCCAGTAGCATTGTTTGCAAATATTTTCTCCCAGACCACAGGTTGTCTGTTTTGTTTATGGTTTCCTTTGCTGTGCGAAAGCTTTTCCATTTAATTAGGTCCCATTTGTTTATTTTTGTTTTTATTTCCATTACTTTAGGAGAGGGATCCAAAAAAAATATTGCTGAAATTTATGTCAGAGAGTGTTCTGCCTATGTTTTCCTCTAGGAGTGTTAGAGTATCTGGTCTTAACATTTAGGTCTTCAATCCATTTTGAGTTTATTTTTGTATATGGTGTTAGAGAATGTTCTAATTTCATTCCTTTACATGTAGCTGCCAGTTTTCCCAGCACCACTTATTGAACATACTGTCTTTTCTCCATTGTATATTCTTGCCTCCTTTGTCATAGATTAATTGACCATAAGTGTGTGGGTTTATTTCTGGGCTTTCTATAAGCATGCCCATTCTGGCCACTTTTATTCAACATACATTTGGAAGTCCTAGCCACAGCAATCAGAGAAGAAAAAGAAATAAAAGGAATCAAAAATTGGAAAAGAAGTAAAACTGTCCCTGTTCACAGATATGACACCATACATAGAAAATCCTAAAATACTACCAGAAAACTATTGATACTACAGTCATCAACGAATTTGGTAAAGTTTCAGGATACAAAATTAATACACAGAAATCTGTTGCATTTTTATACACAAACAACAAAAGATCAGAAAGAAAAATTAACTATATCACATCTTATACACTGGAATATTACTCAGCCATAAAAAAAAGAATGAAATAATGCAATTTGCAGCAACATGGATGGACCCAGGGGTTATCATAGTAAGTGAAGTAAGTCAGACAGAGAAATATATAATTAATATGTGGAATCTTAAAATAAATGATACAAATGAACTTATATACAAAACAGAAATAGACCCACAGACAGAAAACAAACTTATGGTTACCAACGGGAAAGGGTGGGGGAGGGATAAATTAAGAGTTGGGGATTAACATATACACACTACTATATATAAAATAGTTAACCAACAAGGACCTACTGTATAATACAAGGAACTCTACTCAATATTCTGTAATAACCTACAAGGGAAAAGAGTCTAATATATACGTATGTGTAACTGAGTCACTTTGCTATACATCTGAAACTAATACGGCATTGTAAATCAACTATACTTCAATTTAAAAAAAGAAAGAAATTAAGAAAACAATCCAATTTGCCACCACATTAAAAAAAAATACCTAGGAATAAACCTACCTAAGGAAGCAAAAGATCTGAAAACTATAGATGCTGATGAAAGAAATCAAAGATGACACAAACAGATGGAAGGATATTCCGTATTCTTGGATTAGAAGAATCAACATTGTTAAAATGACCATACTGCCGAAAGCAATCTACAGATGCAATGCAACCCCTATCAAATTACCAATGGCATTTTTCACAGTATCAGAAAAAAAGTTCTTTTAATTTCTGTGGAAACACAAAAGACCGTGAAGAGCCAAAATAATCTTGAGAAAGAAGAGTGGAGCCAGAGGAATCATGCTCCCTGACTTCAGACTATACTACAAAGCTACAGCAATCAAAACATTATGGTACTGGCATAAAAACAGATATTTAAATCAATGGAACAGGATTTACCACAATTTTCTTTTTAATTTAAATTATATAAGGGGGCTTCCCTGGTGGCGCAGTGGTTGGGGGTCCGCCTGCTGATGCAGGGGACGCGGGTTCATGCCCCAGTCCGGGAGAATCCCACGTGCTGCGGAGCGACTGGGCCCGTGAGCCATGGCCGCTGGGCCTGTGCGTCTGGAGCCTGTGCTCCGCAACGCGAGAAGCCACAGCAGTGAGAGGCCCGCATACCACAAAATAAATAAATAAATAAGTAGATAGATAAATTATACAAGGTCCCAGGTGTTGCTGATTCTGCTGGTCTTAGGACCACACTGAGTAGTGAGTCTGCAGTACAGAGAAAAACTGTGTGTGAGTTCCTTAGGAGATGGGAAAATATCTTTTTATTTTTATAAACTAGCAGCCACATCATATAAGCTCAAAATTTGTTTCAATGAATTCATGAAGGAATAGGTAAATAAATATAATCTAATAGGGTAACTATGAATTGTAATACAAGTCAGAATGCTTCAATGAACATAATACAGCTTTGAGCAAAGTTCAGAAGGAAATCAGAGAAGGAGGTGATTATTTACAGGTAACAACAGTGAGATAATTAAATGAATGCTTTTCATATAGGATTAGTCAATGAATATTTGTTGTGCAAATGTGCCATTGACATTGAAAAGATTTATTTTACTTATTATAATTACTAACTCAGCTAACTAAAAAATATTATGGGACTAAACAATAGAAAACTGGGTATATAGACAATACCCATCTTTAAAAAGAGTGTTTTTTTAGATTTCATATATGTGCATTAGCACATGGTATTTGTTTTTCTCTTTCTGACTTACTTCACTCTGTATGACAGACTCTGAGTCCATCCACCTCATTACAAATAACTCAATTTCATTCCTTTTTATGGCTGAGTAATATTCCATTGTATATATGTGCCACATCTTCTTTATCCATTCATCTCTCGATGGACACTTAGGTCACTTCCATGTCCTGGCAATTGTAAATAGTGCTGCAATGAACATAGTGGTACATGAATCTTTTTGAACTATGGTTTTCTCAGGCTATATGCCCAGTATTGGGATTGCTGGGTCATATGGTAGCTGTATTTTTAGTTTTTTAAGGAACCTCCATATTGTTCTCCAAGGTGGCTATATCAATTTACATTCCCACCAACAGTGCAGGAGGGTTCCCTTTCCTCCACACCTTCTCCAACATTTATTGTTTATAGATTTTTTAATGATGGCCATTCTGACCAGTGTGAGGTGATATCTCATTGTGGTTTTGATTTGCATTTCTCTAATGATTATTGATGTTGAGCATCTTTTCATGTGTTTGTTGGCAATCTGTATGTCTTCTTTGGAGAAATGTCTATTTAGGTCTTCTGCCCATTTTTGGATTGGGTTGTTTGTTTTTTTGATATTGAGCTGTGTGAGCTGCTTGTATATTTTGCAGATTAATCCTTTGTCAGTTGCTTCATTTGCAAATATTTTCTCCCATTCTGAGGGTTGTCTTTTGGTCTTGTTTATGGTTTCCTCTGCTGTGCAAAAGCTTTTAAGTTTTATTAGGTCCCATTTGTTTATTTTTTATTTTATTTCCATTACTCTAGGAGGTCGGTCAAAAGATCTAAAAAAAACAGTGCTGGTGAACCTAGTGGCAGGGCAGGAAAAAAGACGCAGACATAGAGAACGGGCTTGAGGACAAGGGGAAGGAGAAGCTGGGACAACGTGAGAGAGTAGCATTGACATATATACACTACCAAATGTAAAATGGTTGGCTAGTGGGAAGCTGCTGCATAGCACAGAGTGATCAGCTAGATGCTTTGTGACGACCTAAAAGGGTGGGATAGGAAGGATGGGAGGGAGGCTCAAGAGGGAGGGGATACGGGGATATATGTATACTTACAGCTTATTCACTTTGTTGTACAACAGAAACTAACAACATTGTAAAGAAATTATACTCCAATAAAGATATAAAAAATAACGATAAAAAAATTTTGAAAAAGAAAAGCCATCTGAGAACTAAAAATAAATAAATAAATCTAAATTGTAGCGAACTAAAAAAAATTTTTTAATTAAAAAAAAAAAGAGTGTTTATTTGGCTCAATGAATTTTCTTTGCTCACTTTGTTACCCAAGTACAGTATGACAAGAACACAGTGTGCTTTACCTGGAAATTCACCATTGTTGTAATCAGATATTAAGGCGTGATCAGAAAATAAGCTTAGCAAAACACGGTTCTGAAAGAGCAGTTAGTTATTTGTTGAGGGGGAAAATTACACATAATTTTGGTGTAAATGAAGAGATCATGCACTTACCAAGGTAGGCCTAAATTGTTTTGGTTCCTTTTTATGAATTTATGAGTTTTATTATATAACTGTTAATTTCTATAAAGTGTAATGATTGATAGAGTTTAATTACTTACATATATGTTAAATAACTGGAGATGGTATAACATCAGTACAGCAATTATGAAGATTTCTTGTATGAAGTTATGACCATTGGTTTCCAAAACAGGAAGCATATGCCAATGTATATGTATCATGTCTTCCTTCTCAAGTGCTAAAACCATTTCTGACTCATTGTGATCATTTCTTCATGGAGAAACATACTATTTGAAAGTGTATTTTACAGGTTTTTACAAAGGCTTAGGAAGTATTTAATTAACTACTAATTTCACTCTAGAGTTTAAATTTGTATTTGTTATAATCATCCTAATATAGGTAATATGTTACATGGTCTAACAAATCAGATTGAGGCAAAAACATCTCTGCATATTTGCAATGAAATGATAGTTTATATTGATAATTGCAACTTAAGACAAGCTAAGATCCTAAAGTATCATCTAAAGGAATAATACATTATGTTTAATATAATTTTAATAATGAGGGTTTTTACTATTCTAATTTTTAAGAGTGGTTAATTCATATATGGTAGAAGCTCTAACTGCCTTATATTTGGTGAACTAAAAACCTTAGTCCTTCAAGCTGCTGGCTAACAGAAACTACTGCATCAGTTTTTTTACAGAGAAAACTAAGCAATAGTTAATTTAAAGATTTTCATCAGTAACAATAAAATCAGGGTCAGAGTAGGAATAAAATCTAATGTTCTGGGAAAACTTGCATTGTTCATGGAGTCTGGATTTCCTCCTTTTATTCCATTTCTAGAATTTTATTAGCTCCAAATCTAAGCCCAGAGTTAAACAAAGAAGTTATAAATTCATAAAAAACTCTGAGTTGGTGAGTTAGGTAACCAGAAACTTCATTTGGAGTGGAGGGTGGTGGGGGCAGGGTGAAATTCAGAAGCATGCTTTTTTAGACGCTGTTAGGGATGTAAAGAATGCTTTATATCGACTAAGTGATAAAAATTCACATCATCATGATATACTTGTTAATATTTTATTTCAGAAGAGTTACATTGTAAATAAGATAGCAAATTCTGAAAGTTGAAGAAATGCAAGAAAATTATCAGAGAAATAGGTAAACTTTGCCTAAATTCTACAAAAACTGTTCTGCAACTTCAAATACACCTTACCCTTTTCTCAGCTGTAGCAAAAATGTTTATAGTTTTTTTCCAAAAATAGCAGGGCTGTTTGCATTTTGCTGGACTTCAACATAATCAGTGTTATAAGTGGTTTAATAGTAAATTTAGGAAGTGTAATAGCTACAGGATTTACTGATTTAGTATTTACTTCAGATATTTATTCTTCTGAATTTCATATAGTTTACCAGCATATAGAGAGAAAATACTTGAATATTTATGTTTTAATTCTCCATGAATCCTTCATTCCATGTGGTACATAACAAAATATTGGATTCTGATTATTTTTTCAGTAAATAGGTGTCTATGTGTGTGTTCGTATGTGTGTTATAAAATTTCCTACACCTATAATTCATTAATTTAGAGATTTAAAATAGAAATGATTTAAAATCTTTAATTTCCACTTTTACCATAATAATTGTGTTACATTTTGATGTATAAACTGTAAAACGGTAGTGAACCCCTCTAGATCACTAGTTATTTAATATTCCTGAAACAAAATTTATCAAAACAAGATAACTTACTAGGTCTTAAGCTTTAAAATCCACATCTGGGTAGGGAGAAGGGGTTGTAGCCTTTATAATCTTGAAGGAATATTTTTTTGTCATGTATGAATCATCTCAGAGAAAGCTGGCCCAATACATAAGTAAATTATTAACTTCAGATGGAATAAAATTAAGTGACTTGTCATTTATCAAAGCCACCAGAACAATATGTTATAAAGCTGAAGGAAAGACTTGGAAGTTCATCCTTCTGTGACGTCTCTCTTGGAAAATTTAATCTGATCCCCTCCACCCTTCTTTTAAAGTTTCATAATCTTATATGTATGTGTGTGTGTGTGTGTGTGTGTGTATAATTGACAGATTACAGATTTCTCTGAAATCAATGGACAAAAATTTACATTCTTCATCTGGAACTCCTTGAAATGTGAGCTAAGAAATGAAATTTTCAATGGGGGACCAAATTCTCAGTACATTTGTTTAATGTGTGTTTAATAGAACTTCTTTCATTTAAACCTCTCAGTTGCTCTTGAGTAATTTGTTACAAAGGGTTTGAAAATTCTAATCTACCACCTCATACCCATTAGGAAGGCTACTATTAAAAATATAGTAATAAAATAAAACAGAAAATATGGCATGTTGTTGAGGATATAGAGAAATTGGAACACTTGTGCAGGGTTGGTGGGAATGTAAAATGATGCAGCTACTATGGAAAACAGTATGGTGATTCCTCAAGAAATTAAAAATAGAATTACCACATGATCCAGCTTTTCTACTCTTGGATACAAAAGAATTGAAAACAAGGACTTAGATATTTGTATACCCATATTCATAGCAGCGTTATTCACAATAGTCAAAAAGTAGAAGAAACCTAAGTGTTCATTGCTGGTGAATGAATGAACAAAGTGTGGGATATATATATATACACACACAATGGAATAGTATTCAGCCTTAAAAAGGAGGAAAATTCTGACATGTGCTACAACATGGATAAAACTTGAAGACATTATGCTAAGCGAGATAAGCCCTTCAGAAAAAAACCAAAATACTGTATGATTCCACTAAAATGAAGTACCTATAGAAGTCAGATTCCTAGAGACAGAAAGTACAATGGTGATTGCCAATGGCTCTGGGGGAGGAGTTATTTAATGGGTATAGAGTTTCAGTTTGGCAAGATGAGAGTTCTATGGGTGGGTGATGGCGAAGGTAGCACAACGGTGCGATTGTACTTAATACCACTGAACTACACACTTAAAAATAGTTAAGATGGTAAGTTCTATGTTATGTGTCTTTTATCACAATAAAAAAAAAATTCTACTCCAGATGTGTGTCTTCAGTTGTTACCTAAATAATGTAGAGACAACCAGTGATGACTTAAACTTTCCCAGTGATTATACTAAAAATCTTTGTACTGTCTATCATTAAGTTTTCTTTTAAAGTGTCAGTGTTGATATAAACTGGTTACCAATGAGTGAAATTTGACACTTCAACACAATTTTAATTAGAAAATTTTGCAAATTATATTCACATGGTAATCTTTCCATTGTAAACGTTTGTTTTCCAGAAAACTGCAAGAACTGCCCAAAGTAAGACAGCAAGTTGTTGGACCTATTGAGAAAGTAAGTGAAATTAGTTAGAAAATATGTCTATGTATCAGAAAATGTTAGAGAATTGTCAGGAGTGCATAGAATGATTGTTTTTGTTTGATAATTTACATCTATTTGGGGAAAAGGGGAATTTTAAGAAAAGAATTCATTAAACTATTATTTCCAATAGGAAAAATATCAATATATATAAATAACCCATAAGTTCCACAATAAGAGATAATAAAAATAACAATATCCATACAATGATCCAATTTTGCCCAAAAAAGCATGTATATGTGTGTGTGTGTGTGCAGGCAAGTGTGTGTGTGTGTGTGTGTGCTGCATAAATGTTATCAGAGGTTATTTCTCAGTAGTGGGGAATTATGAGTGACTCTTGCTATTGTATGTTTACATTTCAGTATTTTCCAATGATAATACATTGAAATGAGTTGCTTTTATTATTTTTAAATGTTATAAATCCTTTTAAAATTAAAAAAAATCACATAAATATTTTATAAATCCTATGCATCAAAAAGTGTGGCAGCACAGTTCTTTGGGACTATGTTCAAGGAACATTTTCAGACGTGTTCCTAAAACATCACCTCCACCGACCCTAATCTCTATGTCAGCCTGGTTGTCATTGTCATTAGAAATACATAGGCAGCAGTGCCTGTTTTTTCAAAAGTCAAAAATTTAAAAACTTGGAAAGTAGCAGAGCATGACAAGCTTTATCAAGGAGATAACACACTATTCTAGGGGAAGGTGGAGGAGCAGATACCTTCTTATCGTCTGTAGTACTGAGTACAATGCTATGGCAGTTACTCCATAAATATTTATTAGCTATTGCATGAGTGAATGGAAAAACATGAAATTTTCTCAATATCCATTCATAAAATATGTACTAAGTTCCTTTTGCTGCTATTCAAATCTAATTTTATTTCAATACCTTGTATGTTTTATCTTGACCTCTCTCAGTAAGATAAGTAATCCACTTTTTCAAGTTTTGTTCATGTTTTGGTTTTGGAATAGTGTTGTAGGGACCCATTATAGCATAGAATACAAAGTGTTCACTATTTGACCTTCAGGCATTCCTTTCTCATTCCAAACTGCCTTAAAATTATCATAGACCCTTACTTACAGGATAGATGTTGTCCTGGATACAAAAAATTTGAGGAATTTAAAATAAGGATGAAAAATATGATTCATTACATTTGGTGAACTAATTTTTTTTTTGAACTAATTTTTACTAGATAGTTACTGTTCTCTGCACTTAGTTGTGTCATTGATGTTACGTTGATACACCTAGGGCACTGAAAATTTGAAGATCAACTTTCATAAGGCAAGATATTTCATTAAGCCAAGATATTGTCATTACAGACTTTTCAAATATCATAATTTATTTCAGAATCAACCAAATGGAAGGAAGTTTCTGATTTATATGCACAACTGACCTGACTTGTGTCACAGATCTACAATTTGTACTGATTTTTCTACCTTATTTTTCAATAGTTTCTCCAAAGTACATTGTAAATCCTTAAGATCAGGGGCTTTTTTTTACTTTATATATAAATACTTATCCATGATCTTATACATTTATTTGCCCTCTTAATTTGTAAAATAACATTTACTTGATGGCAAAAACTGTAGGTTGGTTTTTGGTGTTAGTTTTTAACAGCTGTCATGCTACCATGTTTTATTTGTTTTCCTCAGTTTCGCTTTGCTGATGGACTGGACATCACACTCATGATCCTAGGATTACTAGCATCACTGGTAAATGGGGCCTGTCTTCCTGTAACGTCACTGATTTTAGGAGAAGTGAGTGACAGCCTTATCAGTGGATGTCTAGTCAAAACCAACACAAGTGAGTACAATATTTACTTTTCTATATTGCTAGGGACTCAAAAGCATTAAATAAAACAAACATTAAACTCATAATACAGATTATTTTCTTGTCAAACAATATCTATATAATATTTAAGTCATTTATTCTTCTGTATTGCCAGGGACCAAAGAACCAAAATCTGTATTTGTCAAAATTCTTCAAAGAAACAGAACCAATACAATGTGTGTGTGTTTGTCTGTGTGTCTGTGTGTGTGTTTATGTAGAGAGAGAGGGAGAGAGAGAGATTTTAAGAAATTGGTTCACACAATTATGGAAGCTGGCAAGTCCAAAATCTGTAAGGTGAGTTGGCAGGCTGGAGACCATCTGTGCCCTATTTGACTTTATTTATTTTTTTTTTGGCGGTACGTGGGCGTCTCACTGTTGTGGCCTCTCCCGCTGCAGAGCACAGGCTCGGGACGCGCAGGCTCAGCGGCCATGGCTTACGGGCCCAGCAGCTCCGCGGCATGTGGGATCTTCCCGGACTGGGGCATGAACCCATGTCCCCTGCATCGGCAGGTGGACTCTCAACCACTGCGCCACCAGGGAAGCCCCCTATTTGACTTTAAATACTAATTCATACCCTCTTATTTTCCACCCAAAGCCTAATTTTTCAAATGCCCTAGTCTTGTTTAAGTGAATAAATCCATAGCTTCCATTTTCCATGTGTCTTCCTGTCTACACAGTTATTAATTTTTTGATATTTTAATGACAGAAGGTAACGATGCCACTTTGTTAAACAAATGGAACTGCCAATTCATTGAGCAGATATTTATTGATTGCCAAATATGTCTCTCTCTCTCTCTCTCTCTCTCTCTGTGAATGAGTGAGTGAAGAAAGGGAAGGAGGGAGGGAGGGAAGGAGGGCAGGAGGGAGAAAGAATAAACCTAGCAACCTAAGGCAGTCTGCTTAGGAGTACTCCTTTGGTTAGGTTTGCTCTATAATGATTGCTTTGTCAGTTTTAGATAGAATAGTCAATACATAACTGACTGATATTACTGAATTTTAATTTTGTTTTTGTTTAAGCCTTCTCCATGTTTCTCGAGTTTCATTGTGTGTTTTTTCAAATGTAATGAACACATAAAGAGGTTGATGAAGATTTAGATAAATGTATGGATATTACTGGTATAACATATTATTAAAGAGAAGTGAAGATATTAAGGCATATGTCGTCAACCTTCTAGCATTTGTTTTCTAAAGAATAATAGAGGAAGATTTTTTTGCTCCTACCATTGAAAATATGAATAGTAACTATCATATTGATCAGAGGCCCATTTTTATGCCAGCACCAAACTTTTGCACATTCTACGTCTATTAATATAATCTCCAAAATGACATTATGTCATTTTAGTGTGACTGTAGGAACTACTTTTAGAAACAATATGTATTCTCTTTATTAACTCAGTTAAATTTCATTAAAACTTTCTACTGAGTTTTAATACTTCTATATCAATTCTGATATTTGTAATAAGCTGCTTTAAAAATGCTTCCTGCCACAATTCCAAAAATGGAATAAAGGAAAAATCATTGTTTGCACATAAATAAAGATCATAGACATCATCATATGTGATGATACTGTGGTTATGTAAGATATGAAGAATATGTCTGCAATTTATTACAAACGTTTATTATGGCCATTTAAGAAAGAAGATTATGATAGTTGATATCAACCACTGTTTTGTGCTTCTGGTAAAATTACAACCTTGGTATACTAATTAATGTATGAAGTAGATTTTGCTAGAATATATATAGAAATATATCCTGGTAAACCAAGGATTATTTAAATACCACTTTATGATGTTGCTATCCTTGTTATACCCAACAAATTTCGATGAGCTTCTTTTAAATTTTTCTTGTGACTCCTACCTCTACAACTTTCATTTGTGTTTTTGCTTTTCTTGGACTTTCTAAATTACTCCCTGGAGTATCTCAAACTGAATTCTAAATGCATAATTTTGACAGGAAAGGAAAATTCTATTACTATTACTTACGTACCTGTTACCTGAAATCAGAGATGTCCTAAAGAATTCTTTCCACGTATGAGCTACATGGTTAATATTTCCTTATAATTTTTCATGTTGCATGTGTGCTTCTTGAGACCGGAGAGAACAATTTCAAATTTTAGGTTAAAGAATAGAAAATAAGATGATCATTAACCAGTGTGTAGTCATTAAGTCCATTTTCTTGAGAAGGGACCATATTTGGTTTGGAGGGCTATGTATAAAAGACATCATGGCCAATTATAAATTTATTAATTTCCTTTATAATTAAAAAAACTTTTTTACAGCAAATTATCGGAACTGTACTCAGTCTCAAGAGAAGGTGAATGAAGATATGATTGTGTAAGTCCAAATGAAATGTTAATATCATATTCATTGCATGCTGCTTTATTCAATATTTATAAGGAAGAAAACTGAAATGTTTGATCATTAATATTGCATATAAATGAGTAAAGCAAACATGTCCTCTTCTTTTGTTTAGTATAGAAAATATAATTACACAATTATAATTGTGTAACTATAATTTTTTCTCCTACTTGAAAGGTATATAAGTTCATATGCTTTCAGTTTTGACAAAATTGTCATCAATAGAAATGTTGTTTGGGGATTTGCATTTTTATATAAATTTTGTTTCCTAGAACTGAAGGTACATAACCTAGAGGTTAAATGACTACTTTTTCCTTTTTAAAATTTTTTTCTTACAAAACTTACAGAAAAATGCCACTTCCGTAAACTTTAAAAGCCAGGAAGATGTGTGCAACAAATAGTAAAATAAAAAAATAAATAAAAAGAGTAAAGTTTTATTCAGGCTAATTTTGGAGACTAATTATTCAGACTATTATAGTAAAGTTGTATTCAGACTACAAATTGTAAAGTCTGAAATAGATAATTTATAGGGACATTTTGTTTTTGTTGGCTTGTATATTAAGCAATATGCTTTACTCTGTCACATGTGTTGAGTTTGTTAGAGAAATGCAAACTTACTGAGTATATTCGCTGGATTTCAGTAGTGTCTCACTGAAACTAACAGAGTCTTATCAGACCTAAGTGATCTCTTAATCTTTTCCCCAAAAAATGAAGCCTCCATCCTACGCAACCCCAAGAGACATCCATCACATTGTAGTGACACCCTCTGGGCCATAATTCTTGACCTTCCACACTGTTAGCCACAGCCTCATGTGACTACTTAATCTTCAATTAATTAAAATTAGATAAAATTTAAAATTCAGTTTCTCATTCTCAGTCACTTGCCAAGTGCTCAAGTCACATATGGCTGGCTGCCATATTGTACAGCACAAATATGGAACATTTTCTTCATCACAGAACATTCTATTGGACAGTGCTGCTCTGGACTACAGTGTGAATAATGCTGCCTCAAGTTGTGCTTTGCTGTAGTCTCAACTTTCTTTGAGGGAAAGTTTCTATTTTTTTAGCACTTTTTACATAAAGTGTATTTATGTTGCGTCTTTTAAAAATTCCTGATTAGGATCCAGGAACTGCCTTCTACTGAATTCTAGTCTTACAATATTAAAGCAGGGTTCTGATGTTACAATCATTAAGTATGAGTTTCTTACAAAAAAGTTTGGAACTTTTAAAAATAGGGGCATCTATCTTAAAAACAGATAATAAAAGGGAGAATAAGGTATGTCTATGTAATCTATGTATGGTTATTAAGAGATTACTAAACTTATAAGGAAACATTCTTAACATTTATAATGTTGTATTTGTTATGCTGTTGTTTCTCAAACCAGTGTACTGTTTTGGAAATATTTGAGGTATATGGTGAAGGAGGGTTCCATAGTCAAAATGGTTCAGAAAACACTGTATATGACAGCCTCCTTGGATACACTTAGGACAGATAAGCATACTTAAGGCTCAATATAATCAAAGTTTTCCAAACCTGTTTGACTATGGAAACTAAACATCCTGCTGAGCTAATGTTTTGATGAACACATTTCTGGGAAACCTTGTTTTATATAACTTTTTTGGTGGGGATAAGATAATACCTCTTCCATCTATAATAATCAAGAACTGAAAACTTTTATTTTACCTATTTTCCAAATACAATGACTCATAGTTTTATGTAATTTTAATGTTTTAATGTTGTCTGTGCCTTTGTCTTACTTATCAGACAATTATTCTGAAAATAAGATTCCTCCTTTGCAATCAATCCCCATTTCCACCCCAGACCCAAGCAACTTCTTATCTGCTATCTTTAAAGCTTTGCATTTTTTAGACATTACATGTGCTTCGAAACATACATGTAGGGTTTTGCACCTGGCTTCTTTTATTAAGTGTAATGATTTCGAGGTTCATCCATGTTATGATGTATATCAGTAGTTTATTCCTTTTTATTGCTTAATAGTAATCCATTGCAAGGATATATCATATTTTGTTTATCTGTTCACCAGATGATGGATTTCTGGAGTGTTTCCATTTCTTTGCTATTTAAAAATAATGAATCTATGAACACTGATATATAAATCTTTGTGTGGACATATGTTTTTATTTCTCTTGGGTAGATACCTAGGAGTAGAATTGCTGGGTCACATGGTAAGTTTATGTTTACCTTTTAAGAAACTGCAAAACTGTTTTCCAAAATGGATATATCATTTTACTTTCCCACCACAATGTGTAAGTGTTCCAGTTTCTCCACATCTTCACCAACACTTGTTATTGTCTTTTTTATTATAGCTGTTGTGTAGGTATGACGTGGTATTGTATTGTGACTTTAATTTGCATTTCTCTAATGAGCATTTTTTTATTTACTTTTTAAGCATTCATATATTTCTTTGGTGAAGCGCATATTCAGATATTTTGCCTGTTTTATTGTGTTGTTTGTCTTAATGTTGAATTCTGAAAGTTCTTTGTAAATTCTAGATACAAGTTCTTTGTCAGATATATGATTGGCGTATATTTTCTCCTAATGTGTGGCTAGTCTTTTCAGTTTCTTAAAGATTTCTTTTGAAACAGAAAAGTTTTAAATTTTGATTAGGTACAGTTTACCAGGTGTTTCTTTTATGGATTTTCCTTTTGGATTTAAGAATTCTTTGCATAGGATCGTGAAGATTCTCGTCTACATTTTCTTCTAGAAATTTCAACATTTTAGCTCAGACACTTAGGTCTATGATTCATTTTGAGTTCATTTTTGTGACTGTTGTGAGGTAAGGGCCTCACTTCTTCTTTGCACTTCTTTTTTTCATTTGTCCCAAGACTGTTCCTTGAAAAAACTATTTTTTCTACATTGAATTGCCTTGGCACCTTTGCTAAAAATCACATGCCCATAAATGTAAGGGCTAGCTTCTGTTCTCTCATTTTTGTTGCATTTATTGACAGTCTATCCTTATGCTGGTATCACACTGCCTTGAGCACTATAGTTTTAGAGTTTAAATAAATAAATAAATTTTTAAAAATCAGGAAATGAAAGTCCCCCAACTTCAATCTTCTTTTTAGACATTTCATTTCCACATATATTTCTACACATATTTTGGGATTACTCTTCAAATTCTGCAAAATAGCCTGCTGGGAGTTTGACAGGGATTAATTGAATCTATAGATTAATTTAGGCAGATTGTCATCTTAACAACATTGAGTCTTCCAATTCCTTTATTCAGATCTTCCTTAATTTCTGCCAACAATATTTTTTATTTTCAGTGTACAAGTCTTTATTTTCTCCTTTGCATTTGATCTTTAACCCAGTTTTCTCTTACAATATTGCAAACATTTTCCCCACAACATTAAAAAAAGTTCAGTAAGATTTCTATTAAACCTATAGTGTTCTATGCTGTCCTTGAACAGTCCCTCTTATTAGAAAACAGTCAATTATCGTTATTGTAATAATTATGTTCTGTTAAAGTCATCATGAACACTGAATGAGCAAATACTGAACCATTGCTTCCTGGTTCCTGTGAACCTCCATTCACAACATTTTCATCAATCGATTATCATTGAACTCACGGTCATCAGCACTATAACTCATGTCTGAACGACGCTTAACTAACACATGTATTTTCATGTGCCATAGGGCACATCACTGCTTCCTTGGACTTAGGAACACTAGACAGCACTTCAGCATGCTTCTTGAGAGTCGTTTTAAACAGTGAAAACATCAACAAAAGGCACAAAAATTAGAAAAACTTGCCACTACCTAGATGACAAAAATGACACTTGTTTACAGTATGAGGGCACAAACAAAAAAGCAGAGTGTTGCCTTGTTCAGCCTGAGCTGGGAGTACCTGTGTTGGGTGACTCAAAATTTTTGCCACTCTACACATGTCCATAAATAACAATGAAAACAACAAAAATTGATTTTTGGATTACAAATAAATTTCATTGAGCAGGCACATTTGCCAACACAGAATCTGGGAATAATGAGACTCAAGTGTATGGTCCTCTGTGCTTTTCTTGGTACTTTACTCTCCTGGATTTCCAACTACCTCATTGGCCACTTCTCAGCTTTCTTTACTGGCTCTTTGCCTTCATCTTAAACTCTACCATGTTTGGAGAGTCCCTGAGCTCAGTCCTTTGTCCTCTTTTTTATCTATACTTTATTCTGTGTCCCTGTGGATGATCTCAGCCAATACTTTGTTTTAATTGCCACCTATAAGCTGGTGACTTTCAAATTTCCATCTCCAGCCTATACCCCTCTCCAGCACTTCAGTCTCTCATTTTCATCTTCTTACTTGATAACCACTTTGATGTTTAATATGCATGTCAGACTTATGTCTAAATCAAAACACTTGATATCTCCTGCAAATCTGTCCCTGTCTCAGTCTCCCACATCTGTAAATGGCACCCCATTCACTTAGTTGCTGAAAACAAAATCTAAGGAGTTATCCTTACTTTCTTCCCTTCCTGCATTCCTCACATCCATTACATTAGCAATTCTTGTTTGTTGTTGTATTTCCAAAATATATCTAGAATCTGTCTACTTCTTGGCAATCAGCTCCTACCATCTACATCCAAGCCTCCATCCTTCTCACCTTGACCACTGCAATAACCTCCTAAGTAAACTGTCTGTTTTGCTTTGTTGTAACCTCCATCCATTCTCCACAGAGGACCCAGACTAATATTTTTAAAAGTTGAATAGATAAGAACATTCTACGCTTAAATGGTCTTATGTTTCTCTTGGAAGAAAACCTGTACAACGCACCATAGCTAAGAGCCCTATGATATGCCAAATTCTCCAGTCTCATAATTTCATAACTCTTTGGACTTCTTTTCTTCTGGGAACATGCCAAGCTCTTTCCTGCCTCTGACCTTACTACTTGCTGTTCTCTGTCCCTGGAATGCTCTTCTTCTTGCGTTTTTATGGCTGGCTCCATTTCTCCTTTTGGATCCCAGCCATAATATCATTTCCTCAAAGAAATTTTTCTTAATCACTCTTTTTATCTTCACTAGCTCTCCCAACTCATCTTTACCCACCAGTTATTCCATGACTTATCACCCTGTTTACTTTCCACATAAAACAACCTAAAATTCTTTTTCTTTGTGTGTTGTCTGTCTCCTCACACAGGAATGTAAACTCTTCATGAATAGGGACTTCTTATCTTGCTCTTGACTGTATTTATTTCTAGAACTTCATACTAGTGGGCACCCAGTATAGGTTTATTAAATGATTACATTTCTTTTTCTTTTTAACTGAAGTAACATTGGTTTATAACGTTATATAAGTTTCATTATAATTATAAGGAAACATTATAATTCAACTTCTGTATATACTACAGCATACTCACCACCAAAAGTTTAGCTTCCATTCATCACCACACAGTTGACCCCCTTCACCCATTTCACCCTCTTCCCATTCCCTTCCCCTCTGGTAATCACTACTCTGTTCTCTGTATCTATATGTTAGTTTTTTGTTTTGCTTTGTTTGTTCATTTATTTTGCTTTTTAAAAATATTCCATATATGAGTGAAATCATGCAGTATTTGTCTATCCCCATCTGACTTATTTCACTTAGCATAATATCCTCAAGGTCCATCCATGTTGCTGCAGATGGAAAGATTTTTTCTTTTTTATGGCTGAGTAGTATTCCACTGTGTGTGTGTGTGTGTGTGTGTGTGTGTGTGTGTGTGTGTGTGTATACCACATCTTCTTTAGCCATTCATCCATTGGTGGGCACTTAGATTGTTTTTATATCTTGGCTTTATATGTTTTTGGATGTAAATAATGCTGTAATGAATGTAGAGGTGCATATATCTTTTCAAATTAGTGGTTTTGACTTCTTCAGATAAATACCCAGATTGGAATAGCTGGATCATATGATAGTTCTATTCTTAATTTTTTGAGGAATCTCCATATTGTTTTCCGTAGTAGTTTCACCAATTTAAATTCCCACCAGCAGTGCACAAGGGTTCCCTTTTCTCCACATCCTCGCCAACACTTGTTATTTCTTGTCTTTGTATAATAGCCATTCTGATGGAAGTGAGGTGATATCTCATTGTGGGTTTTTTTTGTTGTTTTTTATTTTTTTGCGGTACGCGGGCCTCTCACTGTTTTGGCCTCTCCCGTTGCGGAGCACAGTCTCTGGATGCGCAGGCTCAGTGGCCATGGCTCACGGGCCCAGCCACTCCACGGCATGTGGGATCTTCCCAGACCGGGGCATGAACCCGTGTCCCTTGCATCGGCAGGCAGACTCTCAACCACTGCGCCACCAGGGAAGCCCTCATTGTGGTTTTGATTTACATTTCCCTGATGATTAGTGATGTTGAACATCTTTTCATGTGTCTCTTGGCCATCTGTATGCATTCTCTGGAAAAATGTCTACTGAGATCCTCTGCCTATTTTTTAGTTGGGTTGTTTGTTTTTTTCTTGTTGATTTTTATGAATTCTTTATATATTTTGGATGTTAACCCTTTATCGGATATATGACTTGCAGATATCTTCCTCCGTTCAGTAGGTCATCTTTTCATTTTGTTGATAATTTCCTTTGTTGTGCAAAACTTTTTAGTTTGGTGTAGTCCCATTTGTTTATTTGAAAGGTTGTCTGATTCTAAGAATTTATCCATTTCTTCTAGGTTGTCCAATTTGTTGGCAAATAGCTGTTCGTTATATTCTCTTATAATCCTTTGTATTTCTGTGGTATCTTGTGATTTCTCCTCTTTTGTTTCTGATTTTGTTTATCTGAGCCTTCTCTTTTTTCTTAGTGAGTCTAGCTAAAGGTCTGTCCATTTCGTTTATCTTTTCAAAGAACCAGCCCTTAGGTTCATTGATCTTTTCCATTGTCTTTTTAGTCTTTATTTCATTTATTTCTGCTCTGATTTTTATTATTTCTTTCCTTCTACAGACTTTGGGATTCATTTGTTTTCTTTTTCTAGTTCCTTTAGGTGTTAAGCTAGATTGTTTATTTAAGATTTTTCTTGTTTATAGGCCTACTTCCCCTTAGTACCCCTTAGTATCGCATTTGCTGCATTCCATAGGTTTTGTTATGAAATGACTACATTTCTTATCTGGTCTCCTACTGGTAGCTATTTAGAATGTTTTCAATTTTATGTATTATAATTAATGCTATAATGAACAGTCATTTAGATTAATCTTTGTACATATTTCCTTAGGGTAAATTCCTTAAGTTGAATTTTGGATTTTAAGTATATGTATTTGAAGAGTTTTATAAAATGCTTTTGACTACTATCATTTCTTTACCCTCCTTTTCCACATACAGCTATCATAATTACATCAATGTAACATTTTCAAATGAAAGTATTAAAAATATGGACAGAAGCTGTAAGTAGCGAATATGTTTTGAAATGCTAATCTTTGCTAATAGTATAAGAGAGACATACTCTAAACGTCTTACAAGGGTAACCTAGATTCCTACATCAGCATACTTCAGTCTTTCTCATGGTGGTTTATTTTTAGTTATCTTATAGGCTTTAGCCCAAATACTCTTAATCAAATATTATGACAAATTTCATTTTTTATGAAAATGACAAATTTCATTTTTTATGAAAATGAAAAGGGAAAAAAGTTGTGCTTCAGTCTCACTAAAATTTACAATAATGTTTTTTTCAGGTTGATCCTGTATTATGTTGGAATAGGAGTTACTGCCTTGGTTTTTGGCTACATACAGATTTCCTTTGGTGTTATGACTGCAGCTTGACAGACCAAGAGAATTCAAAAACAGTTTTTTCATTCAGTTTTGTCTCAGGACACCAGCTGGTTTGACAGTTGTGCCATCGGTGAACTTAATACTCGCATGACTGAGTAAGAGGATGGATATGCATTTTATCGACTTTGTTCTCATATATGATGTATAAATGACTTAACTGCATTTATTTTCTTGTTTCAGTGACATCTACAAAATCAATGATGGTATTGGAGACAAGATTGCTCTGTTGTTTCAAAACATGTCTACCTTTTCTGTTGGCCTGGTGATTGGTTTGGTGAAGGGCTGGAAACTCACCCTGGTGACTCTGTCCACATCACCTCTTATAATTGCTTCAGCAGCCATGTTTTCTAGGGTAGGCAAGATGACTAATGTAGTGTTAACTGGAAGCAGGAATGTGAACTAGATATTTTACTGAGTTTGTATAAAAAAGAAGGCATTTCTATGTTTTTTTCCTGTGTCCCAAAATAGGAAGGAATATTAACTACCTTTCTATCTTCAAGTTATTTGGCTACAGTGAGGTTTGGTTTTAATACCTTACTAACATTTTAAAACATTCCACTTCATTTAGAACCTAATGCCGTTTCAAATAATAGCATGGATAAAGCTTTATGCTGTTATACATTGAATGCTGGGAAAACCTTGTGTTGTCTAAATTCCCAGATAAATGTGTTTCAATTCATTTCACTAGAACAGAATGACACAATCCTAAAACAGTAAACACCTGAGCTATTATGTGACTATTTTATGTCAGCCATTTCAAGTTTATATTTTTATAAAGCTCTGAATTAACATTTAAAATGTCTGCTAATGTATATTTTTATGTAGTATGTAAATCTGTTTCAATTTTTTAAAACAAACTTTGTATTTACATTTAAATTATATTTTTAGCACTGTTATACTGTATTAATCTTAATCTCTTTACAAGGTATTAATCTATTTACAGCCTGGTTTTGAAACCAATGCTCTTTGTGCAAGGCAAAATATATATATATCTGCCAATATAGTTCTACCAATGTGTATACCCATTTCCTAGATTGGAGGCACAGTGTATTCTTAAGAGATGGAGTTTTGTTTTGTTTTGGGGTTTTTTTGGAGTTAAAAAATTTTGAAAGCCAGTTGTTCTTTATGGAAGTCAAAGCCATAAAATTCTCTGAGTTTATTTGCTAGCAACATACAAATTCAACCAAACAAGAATTTTCAGCAACAAAAATATTCTGTGTTTGAATAATTCCTTCACAATAGACTTGGGTGTATAGACAGCAGATCTTTATTTAGTGTGACTTCTAGTGTTGACCTTGTAACCCTTGTCAAAATCTTCATCCCCAGCTTATTTGAAATGAGGACCCCTCAGTAGGAAGATTACCCACAATATGTTACTGAAATCATAGACTTAACTGCCCAGGAAGTGAAGTGGACAATGAGATTTAAAAGGATAGCAGTGGGGAAACTAAAGTCTGCTATTGTTGTTAACTAATTGCAAGTAGGAAGCAAGTAAAGTCAAAATTATCTAAATGACTAAAGAAGCCAGGCTGGATGGTTTCTAGCATCCTTCAGTTCAATTTAATTGGGCAAACACATATTGAATACTGGCTATGTACAAGGTTTTGTGCTATGTGCAGCTTCCCCTCCAGTGATAGCTGTCTTTATTAAGTGAAATCAGTAAATAATGAGTATTACTCAGTTTATACTACCTTCTGCTTTAACAAACATCTGTGCATGTCTTACATAAAATTAGTTCCAATTATGTGGAATGTATTTTGAAAATGGATAGATTTGTTATATGAGCAAGCTGTAGTTACAGACTCACAACTCTGAAGACAATTTCCTTTCTTCCTTTCATTGAATTCTTATGCTAATTACTAAATTAAATCCTTTACCAATTAAAGGAATAGTAAGTGGGGTGTATAATAAAGAAAAAGGCACATTCTGTATTAAAATTTTTGATAAATCTGGTAAACCTGACTAATATCACCAAGAATGATAGTCTCCTCCCTCTCTCTCTCTCTCTCTCTGTCTCTCTCTAAAATCTCACATTTTACTAGTGGCGATACAGCGTTTACTAGGCAGCCTGCATTATATAGTATTAGTTTCAGGAGTCATATTCCTCTTCGTGCCACAACTCTGTGACTCATACTCTCTGGAAGTCTTGTTTTTTACATAATAACAAATCAAATCAAGTCACATCAGGCACACCGATTTCCAGGGTGCACATAAGAACTGTGGCCCTAATATCCTTCTCCAAATCAAATTTTTCCAAATTGTATTAATATAGATACTCATTTTCTAAGCTTTTAAAAGCACAGAGAAAAAACAGTGAAGCTCTATTAGAAGGAAAAATAGAGATTTAGACTCTAGGTTACGTTAAGCTAAGCTTGTTCACTGCAGTGAGGCTTTAAAAAGTCAATACCTGTGACCATTGGTTTCTTCATTTGCAAACTGATGGGGTTAGAATAAGTGATAAGTACCTTTTCAATAGTAAAATTTTGTTATTCTAGATTCTACCTGAATTGAATTCTCTGCACCTTGTTACTACCCCAGGTTATTCTTTTTTTTTTTTTTTTCTGATAATCAGTCACACTTTAATTTTTTACTGGGGTATAATTTACAATGTTGTGTTAGTTTCAGGTGTAAAGCAACATGAATCTGTTATACATATACATATATCCACTCTTTTTTAGCTTCTTTTCCCATATAGGCCATTACAGAGTATTGAGTAGTGTTCCCTGTGCTATACAGCAGGTCCTCATTAGTTATCTATTTTATATAAAGTAGTGTGTATGTGTCATTCCCAATCTTCCAATTTATCCCTCCCTTCCCCTTCCCCCTTGGTAACCATAAGTTTATATTTTATCTGTAACTCTACTTCTGTTTTGTAGATAAGTTCATTTGTTGCCACATATATGTGATATCATATGATATTTGTCCATCCCAGGTTATTCTTTGGTTAACTGTGGTCTTTGTTTATTACAGATAGTTATCTCATTGTCCAGTAAGGAATTAAATGCTTATTCCAAAGCTGGGGCTGTAGCAGAAGTCTTGTCACCACTCTGAACAGTCATAGCCTTTGGGGCCCAGGAAAAAGAAATTCAAAGGTCTGTTCCTTTAATCATGATAATATCTGCTTGGTTTTATTTTCCCCCAAGGCTATTATATTGTGTTTTGTCTTTTTAAGATATACTCAGAATCTAAAAGATGCAAAGAATGTTGGCATGAAAAAAGCTATAGCTTTGAAACTCTCTCTTGGTGCTGTGTACTTCTTTATGAATGGAACCTACGGACTTGCTTTTTGGTATGGAACCTCCTTGATTCTTAGTGGAGAACCTGATTATACCATCGGAACTCTCCTTGCTGTAAGTCTTATTTGAGAACAAAGGTAACTGGCCTGGATAATATTTTCTTACCTAGAATTTATTAAAAATTTCTCTCTGAATGACTGAATGTTTGAAGATGAGTGTTTTTAATAAACAAATATTTGTTTCCTTCAAATGATTTGTATACACCTTTAAATTATAGTTATACATTGGCAGGATTTACTCATCCTGCATGCTTAGTGTCTTCTAAAAGCATGATGTTTTTAAAAGAATCATAATTGAATTCTCCACTGGGAGATAGAGTTGTCTTAATCCAGAAGTCAAAAAGACCAGCCTCTAGTGACACTGCTTCCTTTCCATCTTGCTGAGATACGAGAGCGCTCTACATTCACCTTGCTAAATGTTTTCTTCTGGAAATATTCTGTAGATTGGAATCTCCTGCTCTCCCTCTGTCCTTTCAGCATACAATAATGTTAAAAACAGACTATACACAGCTCTGTCCAACATCAATTTAGAGTTTTTTAAACTCTTAATGGTTATACGTTAAATTGTAATTTTTTCAGTTATGCTCCCAAGTTTCAATAATAAACAGATCCGCTCAGGATTAAGAACCATTTGTCTTGCTGAACTGAATTGATCTGGTCTGTATACTTTAGTTCTCATTTGGCCTTCCCATTGTATGTAGATTTCTTTTCTGTCAACTAAAGTCATCTTTTGAACTTGAGACTTTCATTTTTAAGTCTTTAAGCTATTCATTTATTTCTGATAAATGAAACTTGAGCATGAGGAATTTTTAGCACATTTTTCCTCCTCAATTTATGTGTGACTGTAGGTGTATGACTTGCTAAGCTTTAGCTTCCTCATCTATAAGACAGGGAAAATAGCACTTAGCTGTGGGGTTCTTTGCTTATTTGACTTTTGGCAGAGATGTGTCTGTCTGAAAATGAGCAGGTGTCCACTAATATATGAATTCAGAAAAGTTTGGGAAAAAATAGTACAGCATCTCTAAGACAATGAAATCTATAATGTCCTTTTCTTTAAAGTTAAGGAGTTAACCAGCATGCAGGGAAGTACAGCTCACCTCCTTACCCACCCAGGTTCATGTATGTTCAGCACTCCTCAGTAAGCAGATTTTTTTGCTCAGCTTCCCAACAGGTAATAACGACAAGATTAGGGGACAATTAGAAGTCGTTCAACATTAGGAAAAGGCCAACTGCACTTGGATTAACTAATATTTCCTTTTTTGGCAGCATCTTCCATTCTTTCCTACCTAATTTCTCTAATATACCTCTGAGTCTCAACCAAGTATACACTTCATTCTGTTGTCCCTCTTATATAACTGTGAAGGATAAATATTATTTTTTGTTCCTGTAGGTTTTTATTAGTGTAATCCATAGTAGTTATTGCATTGGAGCAGCAACCCCTAGCTTTGAAACCTTCACTATAGCCAGAGGAGCCACCTTTAATATTTTCCACATTATTGATAAGGTAAGACTCCTAACTGCCTTGAAAGATAACTATCATTACTGCAAGAAGGAAACCAAAAAACAGGCACTTTCATTTCACTTAAAAAGATGGGCAAAATCCATGTTGCCCAGTTGGCTATGGAAAGACAGATTATTTTAACTCTTCAACAAGGAGATTGTGTTTTATTGAAACCTTCATATCTAACTCAATGCACTTCTAAAGCAGAAAGGAGAACACTGTAAAAGAAAACCCATCTTTAAACTACTTTTAGGATATAGAGAGTGTCAGCCTAGTTTCTCTAAGATTTATAATGTCCTCTTTGTTTTTCCAAGAAAACTGCTATAGATAAGTTTTCAACAACAGGCTATAAATTGGAGTGCATAGAAGGAAATGTGGAATTTAAAAATGTTTCTTTCAGTTATCCATCCAGACCATCTATCAAAGTAAGTAAAATTTAATTATGGAAATGTACAGTTTTCTAATATTACCTTCCACTGGCTAGGATCTCCTCATATGAGATTGTTTAGGATCACTTTGACCAAGATTTGGCTACTTTGTTTAGAGACTAGAGGGGAGAGAGAGAGAGACAGAGAGAGACAGAGAAAGAGAGGGAGGGAGGAAGAGAGAGAGGAAGGAAAGAAGGAAGGATAGATTCGTAATGGACAAATAACTCTAGAAGAGCTAGTTACATTTTGCAGCCTCCTCTCTATATTGAACTGACTAAAGCATTTTTGACTTCCTGGAATTCCTTCACTCTGGATTTGGGAGCACAGCAAAAATGTCTTGGATTGATGTTGCCACCTACTGGTGGTCCCTGGATGTTTTCCCACTCAGCATAGATAACTCATTTGAACTTTCTAAAGTTTCTAACCTGGGGGAATTGTGCATATATTGTGTCTTTCCATTATCCCTTTCCTAGGACTTTTACTACACCAGCATTTTTGCCTCAGTTTCTTTCTCTCTCACTTTTACACAGGCACACACACACTCAGCATAAAGTGCATCCTTCTCCCTCTATCATTCAGCCTTTGACAAATTCAAATTTGAAATTTGAAATTTCAAAATTAAAAATGTGTCTGTCTCTTCTGTTGTCTTCATCCTTTCATCTTATTAGTGTATTTATCTAAAAAGGTAGTTACTGTTAAAGATTGCAAAGAGTACTTCCTAATAAAACACCTGCTTTATAGAAAAAGGATGACATGATTTTAAGTGAAATTGGTAAAATTACTGATGCCATCAACCTTCAATGTCTTTTAAAGTGTCCAAATATCTCCTGCATAATTTGCATCAAAAAAATATATACCTACTCCTACTTCCTTATTTTTCTCTAAGTCTTTGATTGAAATTCTTTTTTTCAAAGCTCTATTTTTTAAAATTTTTGTTACTTAATTACCATTATTGGAATAGTGTTGTCTTCTATCATTTTTCTTAACATAAATAGAGCATTTTAATTCCATTTTGCAACTACATTTGGGTTGGCTTCCTGAAGACTTAAGCACGATTCTGTCGTTACATTGTATGGGTTTTAAACAAGTATTTTTTAAATGAACATTTAAAACATAGGCTTTTTTGTTAAATTGAAAAATAAATAATTACCCCCCCCAAAAGTCCACCCACTTTAAATAAACAAAACACAGATTCTTCCAAAGAAAGAACAGATGCGAATTCTAGAGTAAAAGTGCAGGTGGGAGAGGAGGTACTCTCACTGGGGGTCCCTGATTTGTCACCTCCTTTAGAGAATTTTTCTTTGCTTGGCCCTTTGAAGGTTTTACATTTGGTTTGTTTACAGAGTCTCTTTCTTTACAAATGAGGAGATCAAAGTGAAAGAATCCAAGGGGATATTCCCATGTTTTGGGAAAATGTAAGCAAAGATAGGTGAGAGTTTCTCAACAGGATTACTTTGTCATTTTGGGAAGGTAATTTTTTGTGAGGTTTCTCTCATATTGCAGGTCCCTGGGACACTAAATGCTGGTAACAACCCTCAGTTATTGAGAAAATTGTAAAAGTACTCCCCCTAAGTTGAAATGTCCCTGTGAGATCCACCGCTAGAAAAAGAGGCTTTCTAGTGGTGAAATCCTATTCGTAGGAGTCGCTAAGAAGTCTGCCCATTGTTTTAGTTTTGAGTCTGTTTTGCAACGTTACATATATTCTAAGAAAGAACTTCCTTAAATAGCTCACAGGGATATCTGGCAAGATTTCATTCAATTGTTGCAAGTTAGAAGATATAACTTTCACTAACTTGGTAGTCATGAAATTCACATAAATTATTTTGGTTGAAAATATGAAAAAACGGTTCCTGTGGCTAGTTAATCATCTTTAAGTACTCAATTTAGATCTCCTCTTTATATAGAGAGATGATTAGCATTTTTCTCCAAATTTTTGTAGGTTATTATACACATACATTGAAACAAACGTAATAAGATCTAAATTTGTTTTTAAGTGCCAGAGAATTTTTTCCTGTTTATAATTATACATTACATTTCTGAAGATCGGTAAATCATATTCTTATCCTAGTTTTATGGAATTTTTTCCCCATACTTTCCAATAGATTCTGAAAGGTCTGAATCTCAGAATTAAGTCTGGAGAGACAGTAGCCTTGGTTGGCCTCAACGGCAGTGGGAAGAGTACAGCAGTCCAACTTTTGCAGAGGTTATATGATCCTGATGACGACTTTGTAAGTGCACCTAGCAAGATCACACGCAGTCCACACGACGAGATTTGGAAATTCCACCTATTACAGAGAGTTTACAGCTGTGTCAACTTTTAATTTTTAACAGTGGAACTGGGAGAGAAACCATATTGTTTTCTTTCCTGCATATTCATTCATTCAACAAATATTTATTGAGCACCTACAAAGTGCCAGACGTTCTTCTAGGTGGAATACATTGGTGGGAATACATTGGTGAACAAAGCATAAAAACCTCTCTTCCCTCATCAAGTTTACATTCTAACAAGTAGAGACAGACAATAAATAAAATAAGTAAATTATATAATATGTTAGAAGATAATAAATGCTATAGAGAAAAATAAAGTAGTAATTTGTAGTACGCAGAACTTATCAATAATTTCAGTTTTTCAAAACATCCCAAAAGAATAATATCTGTAGAAAATATACTGTCTCATTTCTTTCTGTCATCCATATGTTGCACTTAACTTTCTCACCCTTGTAAACAGCATAGAGAACAAGACTATGATAGTCACAGAAGCATAATTCTTAATGCTTCTATTCAGTTTTTCAACTGTTATTTTTAAAAGAAAATCTACTCTTCTAAAACTTAAATTTGATTTCTTAAGTCTTCATTTGGAGTTTACTAGACTCATGTATCCATGCTAATATTGAATAAATAAATTACTGGATTAGCATTCCTTACATAAAGCAGTTGCATAGAATTTCCATGCCCAGACAGAATACCAGTTGGTGTGAAATACCAGAGTTATAATTATCAAACCTTGGCTTCTGTCATTGGAATATGTTGGGATAATAGGTAATGGTACTATCTATGGAGAAGACAATGTTCATTTAATATTATTTATAGCAGTGAATAGAATGCACTTTTACCTTTTGCAGAGGAGTGGGCTGTTGAAGGGAAGGAAGGATGTTTCCTAGAAAAAAAGTGCAAAGGTCACATCAGTCTTAAAATAACAAAACTGCAGTTTTTTACATGTGTTTATATGATAATATTTGTGGCTCCTAGAGTATATATATCCTCATAATACCTAATTTGTGGATCGTAGAGTAAAGATATTCAGGTAGTTTGGCCAAATTTTAAGTCATTTTTTTTAGGTTTTATTAATTCCCAACTACCAGAAAAAGTCTATTGGCATTATACATGCTATAAATATTTTATCAAAATATAGTCATTGTTTCCTGAAATAACCTGCTTCTCAGCCTATGTTCTGCAGTAGTAAAAAGGACTCTAACCCAGTGCAGTGAAAGGCATCACAATGTGATCCATTCCTTTGGATTCACAGATCACGGTGGATGGTAACGACATCAGAACTTTAAATGTGCAGCATTATCGAGAACATTGTGGAGTGGTCAGCCAAGAGCCTGTTTTGTTTGGGACCACCATTAACAACAATATTAGATATGGACGAGATGGCGTGACTGATGAAGACATTGAGAAAGCAGCAAAGGAAGCAAATGCTTATGATTTTATAATGGAGTTCCCCATGGTAAGTACACTATGTAGCCTATATCCTTAGCTTAAGTGTAAAGCACTGAAATATTCCAAAATAAGTTCAATAACAATAACATCTACAGAGTAGGGGGAGTGTGATTCATTTTTGCATCGTCCTAGGTGACACATCTGAAAAGGAGAGAGCGTGGTAACAACCAAAAGAAGAAATACATCCTTGAAAGGTCCAATTTTTAATCTGTTTAGTTCTTACTGGTTCTCACTGCAAATGGAAAAGAAAAAAATAAGGGATATGTTAAAATAAAACAAAGAAATATGAAACAAAATCATCAGTGCAAGCTGAGGGAATCATGTATCTGCAAAAATGTTGGTTTGCAACGCCATCTTGTGGCTAAGTGTGGGAATGTCACACACAGTGCTTAGATCGGTTCTGTGATAAGGCAAAGGAAAAATACCATTGACTTTAGAAGTACATGGAGCTAATATTGGACAAGACGTGAAATGATAGTTGGAAAGAGATACAGTAAACTATAATTTTGGGTATTAGGACATATAGGATCCTAATGGCTATTTAAAATTGATAGAGAGCTCTAAAAATATTTCTGTTTCTCAAAGTATTTGTTCATCAGCATCCTCTGAAATTGTTGTGGGGAGAACCTCGTGAAATATGAAAGGATGAGATTTGAAATTAAAAACACAAATAAAGGGCTTCCCTGGTGGTGCAGTGGTTGAGAGTCCACCTGCCGATGCAGGGGACACGGGTTCGTGCCCCGGTCCGGGAAGATCCCACATGCCACCGAGTGGCTGGGCCCGAGCCATGGTCGCTGGGCCTGCGTGTCCGGAGCCTGTGCTCCACAACGGGAGAGGCCACAACAGTGAGAGGCCCGTGTACCGCAAAAAAAAAAAAAAACCACAAAATTCCAACATCCCAGAAGGCAACCATAGCAAAAAAAGTTTGTTTTAATGGATATATTTTACAAACTACACTCCATAGGTCATAATAATTTCGTTCTCTTTTGTTTATTTCATAAAAACTTATGTTTGCCGTTCATTACCACCTATCCCCATTATTTAGGGTCATAATTAGGACAGAAAACATTAAAGGCTTGAGGTCATTCTTTGCCGTGTGGTTTGGGAAAACAAAGACTTCCTTTCTTTGACCTTTTGACACTTTCAGTGACTTCCTTTCCTCAAAACACCAACGATCTTCAGTTTCCCACCTGGAATTAGAAAGTTTTCTGGTGCCTCTTAAGTCATTCCCTATAAGTTATGACTTGCTTTTACTAAAAGTCCAATATTTACACAAAGATGTCACTTGCTATAAATCTAATAGCAAATCCTAAAGATATAATCCAAAGAACAAATTAAAGATGCTGGGTTATTATGATAGAAACTAAATTCCACAGCCATGGTTAACCAGGGAAATAAGAATAAGCATAATAATAAATAAAAGTTACAGAAGTGGTTAATTCGTATAGGTGAAAATTTAGGGAAAGCTATACTCAGAAATAAATACCATTACTCCTTCTATGATATACACATATTTTTGAATTAATATATTAGGATTAACTGATACTTGCTAGCGTTTTCCCATAAACAGCCATAAAACTGGCCAAAATATATGAGACATAGGACAGTTGTTTCCAAGCACTGGATAAGAGGTATCACAAAACTGTGATTCCTGAGAGAAAGGAAACTCATTAAGAAAGTCCATGAATTTTCAGCATGCTTCCCAGGAACAAATTTCTGACCATATCTCTGTAAAATGGAAACCAGAGAGAACATGGCAGTCCCACAGAGCTAAAAGGCAGAGATAGAATTTCAGGGCAGCTTAAGCAACTGGAGAGGCAAAACGAGAGAGCTGTGGACATGAGGTAGGGGGCAGAAGTCCATGTAGACATCCCTTGGGAATCCTTCTCTGAGGATAAGATTACCCGTGGCTTACCACAGAGCAGCTGCTACAAAGCCAAGAGTACAGCCGAGATAGTAGAAGTCAAGCAGTATAGTGGAGATGTTGAAAACACAACCCAGCCATAGTGGAGAGGTCACATTAACACCATTTTTAATACCTCAGGCATATAGCTGAGACACCAAAAAAAGTCACACCTTAGGGGTAAAGACCACACCTTAGAGTAAGGCTGACTCTAGACCTGCTCTAACAAATCCTAAAATCAAGCCATGACAAGATCCCTAAAGGAGATAGAACTTGGATGTTGGGTCCTGCCAAGTTTTGAGACTTTCTATAGATTAACCCCAACAAAGCATAAAACCAAGATTACATAGTTCAAGATGATCAAGCAATATTTGAATTGCCTATGAGGATAAAAATCAACATTTTCTTAAGAAAACAGAATTCAGAGTCTCTTCAACATTCATGCACAGAATTCAGTACATATTCTACAATACCTAGATGTGCAAAGAAACAGGAAACTATGATCCATAGGCAAAAAAAACAACAAATGTTTATGCACTTAAGAAAAACTTCAAAATGCAAGAAGAAAAACTGGTACATCTGAAAGGAGAAAGAGACAAATCCACATTTTTAGCTGAAGGCTTTAGTACTTGATAGAACAAGCAGGCAAAAAATCACTAAGGATATAGATAACCTGAACAATACTATCAACCAACTAGATCTAACTGATATTTATAGAACACTCCACCCAATAACAGCAGAAAACATTTCTCTCAAGTGCACATGGACTGTTCACTGAGCTAAACAATATTCTTTTTTTTTTTAACATCTTTATTGGAGTATAATTGCTTTACAATGGTGTGTTAGTTTCTGCTTCATAACAAACTGAATCAAGTGTATATATACATATATCCCCATATCTCCTCCCTCTTGAGTCTCCTTCCCACCCGTCTAGGTGGACACAAAGCACGGATCTGATCTCCCTGTGCTATGTGGCTGCTTCCCACTAGCTATCGATTTTACCATTGGAAGAAAAAACTTATAATTTCAAAGGAAACATGTAAAGTATGTTCTTGGGCCATAACAGAATTAAAATGTAGAAATCGATAACAGAAATATATCTGGAAAATCCACAAATATTTGAAAATTAAAGAACCTACTTCTACATAACCTATGGCTCAAAGAGGAAGTTTCAAGGAAAATTAAAAACTATTTTGAAGTAAATGAAAATGCAAGATATCAGTATTTGTGGAATACAGTTGATCCTTGAACAACATGAGTTTGAACTGTATGTGTTCACTTATACATGGATTCCTTTTTCAATAAATACATACTGTAGTACTACACGACCCACAGCTGGTTGAATTCAAGGATGTGGACACAGAAGACCGACTGTAAAGTTATACTTGGTTTTTAACTGCATGGGTGTTGGTGCCTCTAACACCTACATTGTTCAAGCGTCAACATACAGTTAAAGCACTGCTTTAAGAGAAACTTACAGCATTATGTGCTTACTTTAGAAAAGAAAAAGATCTAAAATCTGTAAACTAAGTTTCCACCTTGAGAAACTAGAGTAAGAAGAGCAAACCCAAAGCAAGTACAAGGGAAATAATAAAGACTAGAGCAGAAATCAGTGAAATCAAAACCAGAAAAACATTAGAAACAGTCATTGAAACCAAAAGCTGTTTCCTTAAAAGATCAATAAAATCAGTAAAACTGTAGGAAGCCTGATGAAGAAACAAAAAAGAGAAGAGAAATTACCAATATCGGGGATCAAAGAAGGTACATCACTATTAATCCCAAAGACATTAAAAGGTTAATACAGGAACACTATGAACAAAAATATGCCTATAAATTTGCTAACTTAGATGAAGTTCTTTTCCTTGAAAGACACAAACTACCAAGACTCACTCAAAGAGAAGTAGATAGATAACTTCAGTAAGACCTATAACTGAAAACAATAAACTAGATCTCTAAATAGTAGCAACAACTACCAATAAAATTAAAAGTGGCATTCACAATAGCAACAAAAAATATAAAGTAGAATAATGAAAGATCTGTAAATCTTCTATGTAAAAAAGGTAGAACATTGCTGAGAGAAATTAAATACCTAAATAGAGAGGAGCTTCAAGATGCCAGAAGAGTAAAACATGGAGAGCACCTTCCTCTCCACAAATACATCACAAATACATCTATATGTGGAACAGCTCCTACAGAACACCTACTGAATGTTGGCAGAAGACCTCAGACTTCCCAAAAGGCAAGAAACTCCCCAAATACCTAAGTAGGGCAAAAGAAAAAACAGACAATAGGGACAGGACCTGCACGAGTGGGAGGGAGCTGAGAAGGAGGAAAGGTTTCCACACACTAGGAAGCCCCTTCATGGGCGGAGACTCCGGGTGGCGGAGGGGGGGAAGCTTCGGAGCCTCAGAAGAGAGCACAGCAACAGGGGTGCGGAGAGCAAAGCGGAAAGATTCCCGCACAGAGGACCAGTGCTGACCAGCACTCACCAGCCTGAGAGGCTTGTCTGCTCACCCGCAGGGGCGGGCGGGGGCTGGGAGCTGGGGCTCAGGCTTCGGTCAGATCCCAGGGAGAGGACTGGTGGCGTGAACACAGCCTGAAGGGGCTAGTGCAACACGGCTAGCCGGAGGGAGTCTGGGAGAAAGTCTGAAGCTGCCGAAGAGGCAAGAGATTTGTTCTTGCCTCTTCGTTTACTAGTGCGCGAGGGGAGGGGATTCAGAGCGCCGCTTAAAGGAGCTCCAGAGACGGGCGCGAGCCGCAGCTATCAGCGTAGACCCCAGAGATGTGCATCAGACGCTAAGGCTGCTGCTGCCGCCACCAAGAAGCCTATGTGCGAGCACAGGTCACTATCCACACCTCCCCTCCCGGGAGCCTGTGCAGCCCGCCACCGCCATGGTCCCGGGATCCAGGGACAACTTCCCCGAGAGAACACGTGGCGCGCCTCAGGCTGGTGCAACGTCACGCCGGCCTCTTCGGCCGCAGGCTCGCCCCGCCCCCCCCCCCCCCCCCCCCCCCGGCCTGAATGAGCCAGAGTCGCGGAATCAGCTGCTTCTTTAATCCAGTCCTGTCTGAGCCGGAACAGACACCCTCGGGCGACCTATACTCAGAGGTGTGGCCAAATCCAAAGCTGAGCCCCAGGAGCTGTGTGAACAAAGAAGAGAAAGGGAAATCTCTCCCAGCAGCCTCAGGAGCAGCGGATTAAATCTCCACAATCAACTTGATGTACCCTGCATCTGTGGAATACCTGAAGAGACAACGAATCATCACAAATTGAGGAGGTGGACTTTGGGAGCAAACATATTCTTTTTTTCCCCCTTTTTCTCCTTTTGTGAGTGTGTATGTGTATGCTTCTGTGTGTGATTTTGTCTGTACAGCTTTGCCTTTACCATTGGTCCTAGGGTTCTGTCTGTCCGTTCTTTGGGGTTTTTTTTACTTTTTAAAATGTTTTTCTTAATAATTATTTTTTCTGTTTTACTTTAATAACTTTATTTTATTGTACTTTATTTTATTTTATCTTCTTTCCTTCTTTCTATTTTTTCTCCCTTTTATTCTGAGCTGTGTGGATGAAAGGCTCTTGGTGCTCCAGCCAGGCATCAGGGCTCTGCCTCTGAGGTGGGAGAGCCAAGTTCAGGACACTGGTCCACAAGAGACCTCCCAGCTCCAATTAATATCAAGTGGCAAAAATCTCCCAGAGATCTCCATCTCAACGCCAAGACTCAGCTTCACTCAACGACCAGCAAGCTACAGTGCAGGACACCCTATGTGAAACAACTAGCGAGACAGGAACACACCCCATCCATTAGTAGAGAGGCTGCCTAAAATTATAAGGCCACAGACACCCCAAAACACACCACTGGACGTGGACCTGTCTACCAGAAAGACAAGATCCAGCCTCATCCACCAGAACACAGGCACTAGTCCCCTTCACCAGGAAGCCTACACAGCCCACTGAACCAACCTTAGCCACTGGGGACAGACACCAAAAACAACAGGAACTATGAACCTGCAGCCTGTGAAAGGAGACCCCAAACACAGTAAGTTAAGCAAAATGAGAAGACAGAAAAACCCACCACAGTTGAAGGAGCAAGGCAAAGACCCACCAGACCTAACAAATGAAGAGGAAATAGGCAGTCTACCTGAAAAAGAATTCAGAATAATGATAGTAAAGATGATCCAAAATCTTGGAAATCGAATAGAGAAAATACAAGAAACGTTTAACAAGGACCTAGAAGAACCAAAGAGCAAACAAACAATGATGAACAAGACAATAAATGAAATTAAAATTTCTCTAGAAGGGATTAATAGCAGAATAACTGAGGCAGAAGAACGGATAAGTGACCTGGAAGATAAAATAGTGGAAATAACTACTGCAGAGCAGAATAAAGAGAAAAGAATGAAAAGAACTGAGGACAGTCTCAGAGACCTCTGGGACAACATTAAATGCACCAACATTCGAATTATAGGGGTCCCAGAAGAAGAAGAGAAAAAGAAAGGGACTGAGAAAATATTTGAAGAGATTATAGTTGAAAACTTCCCTATTATGGGAAAGGAAATAGTCAAGTCCAGGAAGCACAGAGAGTCCCATACAGGATAAATCAAAGGGGAAACATGCCAAGATACATATTAATCAAACTATCAAAAATTAAATACAAAGAATAAATATTAAAAGCTGCAAGGGAAGAGCAACAAATAACATACTAGAGAATCCCCATGAGGTTAATGGCTGATCTTTCAGCAGAAACTCTGAAAGCCAGAAGGGACTGGCAGGA